ATAAATAGGTATTCAGGTTTAAAGATTTATTTTAAAACAGATTAATTTATAAAATTTTTATAAGTAACTAATTTATTTACCTTAAGTTTCGATAAACTGTTATTGACAATCGTGTGAAAGCGAGGCCATAGATATAATTTTTTAACAAAAAGAGTTTTCATTACACGTTCTACATTAGAAAACCCAAAAGTAAAAGATAATGCCGAATTAGAAAATGCTTTGATAAAACCAGTCTATAAAGAAATTAGAGAATTAAGAATAATTAATATCACTGAATCGCAAATAATCAATATTAATGATTATAGCTTATACATATATATATTATCTTTTCATCACCTTATTTGTTTGTCTGTACAATCTAACTGCAAACGCTTCTTGATATGAACGCAAAATGTTATGAGCTTTATATACAAGAATTCCAGTAACTAAGTTTAGTGGCACTCTATTTTTTAATAGGTCTACGACTAAAATTCGGCCTGGCACAAATAATATTCCACCTTCTAAATACATCAGTTCTCTGTAAATAATAATGTTAATTAAAACTTATATATTTATAAAATATACTTTTCATAATAAATAAGTAATAATTCGACAATAGTATACCTTTCGTTGGATGTACATTGACCTGTTACAATACGAGGTAAATTTTTTATACCTAAACCTTGTAATTCATCTATAAAGTATCTTTCATCGTGATCTGTAGTTCCCAAAACAATAATAAGATTTCCAGGATCTAAATAGACTTTTAATATATTTACAAATACAGTTTCTATACCCAAACCCCTAAATCAATAAATAGTTTATAAATACATGTAAAGTTTATAGTGAGAGAACATTAACATTTTGAAATATAATATAAAACATTTACTTTGCTGTGATTACTAAGCCATCCTCATGTAATATCTCTAGAAACATCTCATTTTCATATTCCAACATGATTAAATATATATATTTCACTATAATAAGTTGTTATTATACCAGAGTAATCTATTGTGAATAATTATACGTATCATTAAAAAAGTATTTCAAATAATACATTGGCAATAGACCTCATAAAAGTAACTATAAATGTTGGACTTTTCTTCTGTAATATAATTCAACAAATATGAAAATGGTTATGATAAGTTTAGCAAGTATTTTTCAAATTATACCTTGTTATCACTATCCTTGTAAATATTCTCTTCTTTTTGATAAGTTGTCTGATCATCCATTGATATCACTTCGTATACCAATAAAGTATATTTACTTAATTCATGCGAAGGATGTCCATACACTCCTATGCTAACGGGCCTTTTGAAACTGAAAATGAATTGATAAAAAAAAAATTAAAACTGTTTTTATCTTATAAATTTTTTAATCGACTTCACAAAAAATATTTTAACATACTTGTCTGGTACAACTATAATATCTTCTCCACAAGTTGTAGATTGCAGACTATAGTGATCTGGTTCATAAGTTGGTTTCGCCGTTGTATGTGATGCATACAAATCTGCATCTCCAGTTCTATAGTTATTAAGATTATACTTAGTGTGTTATAAATTGTTTAGGGATGGACATACTTGACAATTTACTTACTGGGATATTAACAGAATTTTGATAATACCTTCATACATCAAACTATAATATTTGTAAGATCCACCTGATACATCATCACTAACATAATGTAATAATTCTTCATTCAATGACAAAATGCAAGGTAGCTAAAACAGAAATCTTCATGTGTTTGGCACATTTGTACAAATAAATCATTTAAATTTTATTATATCATAATGTGTTGTAATAAAATATTTAATACATCTCCAATTTTAATAAATAAGATGATAAAATCATATTTCAAAATATTCTAATATTAATTTGTCTTACCAAAAGCAAATTAAGAAATATAATCTTCATAGTACAATGTTATTCATCATTGTTGAAAAGAAAAACAAAGTTGTAATATTTCTGAAAATTTAATAACAGTTATTATTTCCTATAACATAACAATTTTATTTTTTTGCAATATTTATAGACGCAATTGTGATACCAAGCAATCATGGAAAATTGCAAAATTTAATTTTATAAATTAATACATATAGAGTGTCGTAGGAATGCATAAAATTAGTATATATTAAGCATGAATCACAAAAATCAAGAGAAACGACAAGAAATAGTTATGACTTGTGATCACCAGATGGAGATTAGGTTCGCCATTAGAAAAGAATTGTAGATTTTATTAAGTTCTAATTATATAACAAATTACAATAAGGCATTTGAAATAGAAATATATTTTGATAATATTTTTCGGATAATTTTTAATATTTTTAAAACAATTTCTTCAATAAATATATTTCATCTACATGTACAACCATAAACAGTTTAAGTCTTATTTGTAACAGATTATGGATTTCAGAGGATGATTAAATATTTAGTTTAAAGCAATTTATGTTAATTTATACTTTTTATTGAAAATTATAATTAAATGAATTTCCAAATTGAATAGATTTAAATAATATATCAAGACAAAATGTTTCATAATATTATAAATTTGAGTCATATAGTATGCATACGCGAAGAAGGTACTTTTGGCGCTGGTTTCGTTCGTTTGTGGAGTGATCGTTTTGTGTACTTGTCCGTTATTAATAATAAATAAGAAAATTGATATTCGAATAGAAATATATAAAATCAATTTCTTGACAATTCACGCAGGTATATAATTACAATAATAATTTATTAATAATTCATTAATAATTAGCATATATAACTAGCGTGTAAAATACATTGTATATAATTGTTTCGAAACATTTTATAAATACATCACATCGCCATGACATCTCATTATTGAGATATCGAAATAACAAAAATATAGTAATATCTGAGTAATCAATATTGATTGTATTGTGATCATTATTGTTAATTATTGTAAGTAATCCAAGTACTCTCTACAATTGTTGATACAAGTTGTTATAATTATTCCATTTTCGTCGGAATTATAAATATTATTTTTATTCATTTACTCAATAATTACGAGTAATTTTATTATTATTAAAAAAAAAATTTTTTTTTTTTTTATTCAATTTGTAGGTATCAAGTATTGTTTTCTCAACTTTCGAGTCGTCCAGTTCTTTCATCTAAAGCTAGATGGCGCTTTTGTATCATTGAAGATATTTTAAGATGAGAGGTCAGTAAATCGCAAAGAATGTCAAAAATATTTCTTAATTTAAAGAGGATCGTGTATATGAATGTTTGCAAATCTTTGTTATTATTATTTATTGCATTTAGTTAATTAGAATACGATTAGTATATGCAAAAATATACTGGCAAAATTTTGTTTGTTACGTTATCTCACGGAATAAATGAAAAAAAGAAACATTTAATTGAACGTATTTAATTTATTCATATTTAGTTTATCTCGTATAAGTATTTATTATTTAAAACGAGATTAGAACAGCCGGTTCTAACGGATGTAACTTGATCGGACCATTGACGCAGTTCAATTTTACAACCACGGTACACATTATTTTACATGCGTCTTGTTGCTATAGAGACTACAGATGCATATACACGTTATCTCTTTTTCTTTTTACATAGTTAAATTAGCTTATCGTAGGGTGTCGATAATTTTTAATTAAAGCAAATGATGCATGTTCCTTGGAATATTATCAAATTATCGAACGTTCTACGACAATGTCTTGCTAGCTAGGAGAGTGAGAGAGAGAGAGAGAGAGAGAGAGAGAGAGTGAGAGAGAGAGAGAGAGGCAGAGAGGGAGAGAGAGAGAGAGAGCTCTTGTTCGTAGACCCTTTAAAACGCGCTCACCTATCCTCACGATCATCTATGATATCCGGTGCATCGCTATCAGTAAACGGGGTAATTACTTCTTTGTAACGAAAAGGGCTCCCTTGAACGTACATAACGTGGGGAGCTAACAATGAACAATTAAATGATTACACTGCTTTCAGTTATCGTCGAGAGGATAGAATTGCAACGCCGCATCTTTCACGTTGTTGTGGCCTTTTCTTTTATTTAATAACGAGCTTATAACCTTCTATACCATTTCCGAGTAATTGAAAACAATTTCTCATGGTTTTCCGCGTGGAGAGGAGAAACACGGTATCGATCGTTTCAACGCGTCGTCCTCGTCCTCAACGTCGACTCCGGTCGATAACGAGGAAATACGAAAACACTATGGGTAAGAAGGTTCTACGTCCTCGTTCAATTTTTTATCGCTCAAGGTAGAGTTTCGAGTGGACGGATTAGTTTAGAAAACTCTTTCTTCTTTTAGATAGGACTCGAGATTGAATTATCGCTTCTCGTTTGTCGTAAACGAAGGAGGCTTCGTAGAGATGTAAAGAGAGAGAGAGAGAGAGAAAGGTGTGTGTGTGTGTGTGTGTGTGTGTGTGCGTGCGTGTGTAGAGAGAGAAAGAGAAAACCCCTTCCCGGTAGAGAATCTACGAAAGGAGAGAACTCTTCTCCGATCTTCTTCGGGCGTCATCGGTATTATCCGCATCCTTCGAACCGCGACGCGCCCGGTTCGATTCCACGAGCGCAATAGGATAGGCCGTCCTTTTTCCCCCGCATCGACGTGTGTAAGCAGCCAGACCGGTAACAGTCCCTCTCTCCCTCCTTGGGGTGTAAACAGGGTCTATGACGAGTCCTCTCCTCTCGGTGGAGGAACGAAAAAAAGAGTGGCGGACCGAGGAAGAGAGGGAGGAGAGGGAGAGAGAGCGTTCTCTCCGTTGCGTTCGCTCAGCGACAAGGAGGAAGGCAGCGACCGAGAGAGCTGTGTGAATCGAGCCTAAGGGCGAGGAGAGCACGGTGAAGGCTCGCCGCCGGTGCTGGTGGGAGAGGAAAGGAGGGGAGCCTGAAAAAATGTGTAGGTGCGCGCGCAGCCGCTTTGTCTCTCTCGTTGGTGGTGCTCGCGGCGGTGGTGGGGGGGTGGCATGGACCACGAGGGGCCACAGGGGTCCGTGAGCGGAGCATGGCGACTGCATCCTTTCAGTCGGCCGGTGAACCCGCGTGCCGTACGGTTGTTGTCTCTTCGTTTTTTCGCACCGTTCGTGCGTTTTCTCTATCTATCCTTACGTTTCGCGCTTTCTATCTTTCTTATAAGTCTCTTTTTCGGCTTTCGGCTATAATCGTTTGGTTTTTTTTTTTTTTTTAGAGTGATCCCTAGATTCTTCGAAGCTAGATCGCGTGTGACATTCTGATCCTCCATCGTCGTTATTCTCGTAGAGAAACGCACGCACACGCATCGTACATGCGTAATCTCTTTCTCTTTCTTTCTTTCTATTGACGCTCTCCGTCCGTGGTTCCTTCGCTCGAAGATAACAACGAGAGAAGGAAGAATCCTCCTCGCAGGACCTTTTGGATTTTTCTTCGACTCGTCGTCATTCGTCCTCTTCATTGTACACGGGCGCTACGCCTTTGAGAACTTCTCCTGCATGGTAAGTGACAAAAACTCGATTACTTCTTAAGTCGTCGTCGTCGTCGTCGTCGTCGTCGTCGTCGTCGTCGTTAACGGCACTTGGAACGATTTTTTTTCATCTTCTCAATATTATTAGTACCGTTGGTTCGACTTCGAGTGATCAAAGGGTATATATTTTGAGGTGGAGGAAGAAGTAGAAGAAACGAATCGTTGAAACGAGAAGGGAAGTTTTTCACACGTGCAACGAGTTTTCTCAAGCGCGCGCGCGCTCTCGAATGACGCAACGAAGAAAGAGATGCGCCGCGTTGCTGGATAACTTTACCATCTTTACCGCGTCTCTTGTTTTCGTACGTATCGCCATGAGAGATATATATATTCACTTTTGAGAGGATGAAAGAGGGATCTCGAGAAGTGCTCTCCTCTCGACACGTGCGAAGAAAGGTCTTTCTTAGGAAAAATAATGTTACCAAAATAAAGCACCGGCGGGAACCTTTGTTTTTATGTAGAGAAAACGAATTTCCTTTTTGCAATGGAAGAAATTTTAATCGTTAAAATATATCGTTCTTTCCACCAATGGATTGAACAAGATCGAATATTTGTAATGTTTAAGAAGAAAAATGCGTAAAGTTTTCAAAAGAGCGATTAAAAAGAATTACCATCGATTTAAGATATTACCCTTGAACACTCGCGAGAACATGGCGGTATCAATTTAAACGTTGTCGTTGTCAATCGTAGCTTTCTCGATTAATGAGCGGGAAGTGCGATACTTGCGATAAGAACGTCGAACAACCGTTACTTTCTTATTTTTCGTTTATTCTTTTCTTTTATCTTATTATAATATATCGATGAAAAGGAAAGATGTACGGTATCGATCTGCCGTGATCTTAGCCGAGGGTTTTCACTCTGTCGTCGGCATCTCACATCACTGTAATTATCCCGATATCGTTGTTATCCCGACCATATTCGACATAGGAAACTTGTAATCGGTAGCTGATCGTGGCTAACGACCGTGATGTTTTAAAATTCTTTAAGAGCTCCGGATTCACTGTAATTACAGTACATATATAATGATAAGCTGGGTACAAGTCGGCGGCATAGACTTACTAAGGCATGCTGAAACGCACAGTTTCCCCTTCGAGATGTGTTTTGCATGAGAGAAAGAGAGAGGGGGAAGAAGAAACATCGGTAATGTCGTTTTCTTCCTTTCCTTTTTCTTTCATCGACGTGAAGGAGAAAAAGGAAGAAGCCGCGGGAAGAAATTATGGGTTGCTAGAAAGAAATCGAGTCTCACCGGTTAGAGGGAGAAAAGGTAAAAACAAGAAAAATGAAAATAAAGAAAAAACGAAAAAGAAATGGTGCGGTTACTCGCGTGCGAACACGCATTGGCAATTTTTAGCGTTCACGTTTCCGCTCGCGCCAAGACCCATTCATATAATCTTGGTCCTCATTGAGAACAAAGTTTTCGTTTCTTGTATCGACAAGGCGACAACAATATATATATACGAGTTTGCAAGTACGAAGAGGTAAGTTCTTTTAATTTCGACGTTTAAGATCATGCAATGCCGAATTCTCATCGGAGGTGAAACGTCGAGAGAGGAAATTGGCATGGTTCGTGCTGAAAATGTCTCTCGTGAAGATGGCGCGAATTTTGATCTTCAGGGTCATTCGTTCGCCCTTGATGTGTGTATTATTGTGTGCGCGCGTGTATGTAAGAGAGAGAGAGAGAGAGAGAGAGAGAGAGAGAGAGAGAGAGAGAGAGAGAGAGAGAGAGAAAGAGAACCAACCCTCCTGAGTTGTGCCAGCACTCCAACACTTACTGTCGCAATACGACAATCGATCTCGAGGCTGCCGACTACGCAGCATACATTTTCGTGCCTCGTTAATCTAGTTTGTCAGCTTGCTCGGACCGTCATGAGTTAAATTGTTGGTAATCCTGCTAATCCAGCGAGCTCTTATTTTATCATGTCGGTGGACATTGGTGACAGCAGCAAGTAAAGGGAAAGCGCGATAGTACTCGATGATTACGCTCTTCGATTATACGTACGAGCGACAAACGTGCGAAGAAAAAGTAAAATAAATAAACACTTTCGAGATTGACGATGTAAAAGTTTGATGATTTCGATGAGGAAATACTTAGGCAATGATTCTAAAAATCACTCTTGAATCGTTTAATTTAATTTAATTTAATTTAATTTAATCGAGTCTCTTGTCTATATCAATTTTTTCCATAAAAGATGAAAATTTTCTATAAATAACATCATTCTTCTTTGTTTTTTCATTGATTATATCGATTATTGACCGGGTCAGTGATTAACTTAGGTATCTTAGTTTCGCTATCGCTTAGTTTCGTTGTATATATATATATATATATATATATATATATATATATATATATATATATATATATATATATATATAGTCGAGCTACAAAGATACACGATCGATAGTCGTGCGTTTAAGGTTCATGCACACTGGTATATCAGGGAAAGCTAATGTTTGTAGATCTTATCGACCGACCCTTAAACCTACGAGGCTAAGAATAAATTATTATCGTTCGAAGACGTGCACGAGAACGTACGAAGACGTAACAAAATTTTATTTCATTCAGAGAGATCGTTCTTCAATGATCGCGTAAGTACGGCCATGAATCACGAGATGTCCGAATATGTATAATCGATCTCGAGACTTTATCCTTATCTTCCAAATTGATCTATATTTATGGTATCATTGCACGCGGCATGTCGCGTTTAACTTTGAAATCTACGGAATCGAAGTAAGTTTTGAGATTAAATAAGTTCCGAGAGCGAGAGCGAGAGAGAGAGAGAGAGAGAGAGAGAGATGCAAATAGAGAAAGCTCACGAACGCATTTCTCTTTCTCTGGATTTGTGACGACGAATAGGATGTTTTCTTCGTTTCATTATTTACGCATGTGTATACATGAAGATCCTTATTTGTCCATATTTTTAAATTCAGGTTCACTGACTCAAAGCAATACATTTTTTTGCTCCCAACTTTAGCTTGCCTCTCGCTTGCAACATCTTGAAGCTCTCGTACTACCTGACCCTTTATACCTGAGTTCACTGACGCATTCTCCCTTCGCTCGCGGGCGGTCCACGCAGTATCCACTTCTTCTTCTTCTGCTTCTTCTTTTTCTTCTTCTTCTCATTCTTGTTTCTTTTTCCTTCACAAAGAAGTCGCATTCTGACCGCTTGGAAAATAGAAACCCTCGACGGAGTTTAACGAACGCACGGTTTATCGGTTCAATATTCATATTATCTATAAAGGATATATACGATAAGGACCGATGTTGAACGGTAATGATTGGTTTCGTTTTTTTGATTATCGGTTAATCGTATCGAAAGCTCGTTCGATTTCTCGAAGAAATCGACTACGGTGGTCGACTCGTGGCGACTCCTAATGAATTTAGAATAGCAAAAATTTATCTGGTAGAAAAGACGAAGCGAGTATGCACACCTGCGCATTATCTCTCGCCCGCAACTCTGACGTCATTAAGTTCGAAACGACTAACTCCGCATGGTTTATTGGTCGCGCACGTTTATACGTCTTGTTACATTGTAGCCTCGCAACAGGAATCGGAACAGGATCGTTGCGAGGAGGTAGAGAAGGAGGAGGAGAAGGAGGAGGAGGAGTGGGAGGAGACGACTGGATATTGTCGAGGCGTAACAGATCAGAGTGAAAGTCGAAACACGATTCCGGTGCGGGCTCTCCGCGTATCTCTCTTCTCTCGTAGCAAGTACGAAGAGAAGACGGAATGATTCTCTCCTATCTTTCGTCTCTACTTTTCGAATATACCGAGGGAGTTAAAATATTCCTTTTTATACAATTAAACGCCTTCACGCCTTATGGATTCGACCGTCGAAAGGCTTGTTGTGCAACTTTGTTCTAACTCGATGAATTTTTCCCGCGTTACCGATTCTCCCTTTTCGGATTACTTCTTCGTGAGGAAGCAAACTTTTTATCTTCCATAAGCATATAACACAAATTCAATTATAATTTAGCTTTAATCAATGTTTATCCTGTCGTTTTGAATAATTAGCTTAGAAATAAATATGATTAGTTTGGCCATGGGAAATTCTCTAAAGAGGAGCTAACGAGAAGAAAAGGAGGACAATAGATTTTTGAAGGATGTTTCGGTGGATCAAACAAAGTCCAAGAACGCGACGTTCTTTCGAAGGAATCAAGGAAAGTGAGAGTAAACATTATTCTCGATCGAATCGGTCAAATGGGGACGACCAGGTTTTTTAAATACTCTTTTTGAGTGGTTTCTTTTTTTAGTTGATTTTGACTCGGCGCACGTCTTTTATCTCGATTTTATTTCAATGTTTCTCGCTTTTCGAGCTAGCGGTGACGTACGCATTTCTCTCTCTCTCTCTCTCTCTCTCTCTCTCTCTCATTTCGTGCTGACGTCCCATCGACCGCCTGTAGCGTGTACTTCCGATTAACTGGTCAAGCACTCGACGGTACTTATGCACTTAGGCTCGGCGAAAGGGTGCTGCTCGCGGTGTTTCGTCGTCTATTTTTATCACGAGTTCACAGTGGGTCCGATACTCCTTCCGTTACAGTCTATCTTTCTCTCCCTCTCTCTCTCTTTCTCTCTCTCTCTCTCTCTCTTTCTCCCTTTCTCCGTTTCTTCCATCAGCTTTGAAAGCTCTTTGATTTCTCTGTTCGCGCGATTCTATGAAAGAAGCGTCAAAAAATATCATCGCTTTCCTTTCTCTTTGTTCGTCACGTTTGTCAATTTACGTGCAAATTGATTGTCAAACGTTTTTATACAGAAACCATTATGATCGATATTTTTTTTAAATTACTTTTAATACATATTGCGTGTATAGGTTTTATTTGAGAAAGAATTCTAGTCGGAAGAAATTTTTGTATTTGGTAAGATGCGTCGAAAACCCATCAGGTTTTTTTTTTTCATTGAATAAATGCGACGATTCTTTGCGAGAGGAAACAAAGTAAGAATGAATTAATTGCTGAATCAGAAATCGGACGACAGCT